GGCAGCGGTGGTAAAGAGGAAAGACGCCAACTCCCAGGTTGCAGCTCAGTCGACGGGACTCGGCCATATTTTTAGGTTTGACGAGGCCGAAATCGTCGCAAGAGATGACAATCGCGTGGGCCGCGAGCTGCTCGAGTCATGGTTTTCAGACCCTCAGTCCATCAACAAGCGCAGCGATTTGGCGTTCCCATACGGTGTACTGAGAAGTTTCCTGAACAAGAGAATCAGTCACGTGGGAAGGGCTGGATGCAACAACAACTTTGTCTGAGCAAGAATCACTCACGTGGGAAGGGCCGGGCGCAGCAACAAATGTGACGTCCGCGAGCATAATTGTCCCGCAATTATCAAGTCCGCATCCGACGCTGGCAAGCAAACTGTAGCAATTAATTAGCCATTACCGCACCAATTAAGACCTCAAGCGGTGGCTATGGAAACTGACAATTATAGTACGCATGCCGATGACCGCCACGAACTATAAATACCGTGCAACCTGTGCATGTATCACCCTTATCTGCGCATTCTCACACTTTCATACGATCACCTATGATTAAGGATTCTCGACAGAATCCGAAACGTGAGTAAAATAAAACATTGGTTCCAGTGATCGCATCTTCTTCTTCTGAACTGCGTCCTGGAACTCGTATATTCTCCTCTATTGACAAAGTAAAGCCATTGGTACTTGTTTTACTTATTAAAAACATATGTGATGATCATGCGGAACGAACAAAATCGACCAGCATAATCTCATACTGGTCAGCAAAAGCTGCTAACGGACAATTAAAAATAATAGAACAACTACTACTGGTTAACATAACCATGGGAGTGTTTGCGTAGGCGGAAATTCGACCTACTGAAAAGTTTGAAGTAGAATTTTTGTTCTTAACTACAGAAAAAACGGTCTCACAAGAAGGCCCTAGCACCAGCTTTTTCATCACACTTTTATAACCCAAAAACGCCGGAAAAGCGGACTTGTTTGACCCAAGTAAAGAGAAAATCAGGATTTAGCCCAACGACATTTGAAGGATGAGGAAGGTATAAAAAGCAAAACGTTTAGAAGAGAATGTCTTTAGAAAACCTCTCACGAAAGGTCGGTAATAATGAAACTAGGCACAAAAATTGAATGACAGTTGTATGAAAAAAGGGCTGAGAAGAACGATACAAACTAACTTACGGTCTCATCTACTAAATATGAGATTTTTAAAATCGGCTAGTACACGAGAATTGAAAAGAGACATACAAATAGAAGGAAGGAAATGTATGACAATTACAAAGTAGAATGAATAAATGGAAACAAAAGAAGCTATACATTCCCACATAACATATATAACAAACGAGTATATTCATAAATACAGCTAAAGGATAAGACCCACTAAGAAAAACTGGATCCTAAAGCAGGCGATATAAGTAAAGATTAGGAAGTGTTGAAATGACAGACTAACCTCGTGGAAAACGGACTCGTTGAACAAACTTGCTACTGACTAGTTCCAACAAGTATCTTAGCATAAATTCGTACGCCTAACAGTAGATGAACTCCCTTAAGAATAACTCACAGATCGCATGAAGGATTAAACGTAAGGAAGACACATGCGTAAGGTCTGTTTTTGAATAATGGAGGGGATGGACCACACCGGTAACCTCTCCAAACTAAATAAAGTAGGCAGGCAGTAATTATGCGGTGAGACTAGCCTTCACACCATCCACACATAGCTGCAAGGCCGTCTAGCGCTGTTCTGCACACCACCGCATTCTTCGTTCCTGTATCGCTGAAGCAATACAGGAAATCAGGCTATAAAAGCAGATAGCCATAGGAGTAGATAGCCAAGGGACTTGAACATGGAAACTGAAACTAACGAAAGTTTAAAAAAGGAACTGGTTTTCGGAAGAATCAAGTCAAGCTTGTGCATTTTTAAGATGGTGACAAAAACCCGTCGTCAGGCAAAATAAGGGAAATGAGGAAGTAAGAAAGTCACACAAGAAAGTTTAAGGCGACAGGTCAGCTAGACCAATTCTTCCTTTATTTTTCGTTATATCACACGAAATGAATACCACCGCTGATTTCTTAACGAAAGTGTTTGTAGGCGCCTGTGTTTTTTTCATTCTGTTGAAGGACTGAACAATGTTATACACAGATGTACCAAGGACAGACACATCAGCAGATACCCAACGGCTCTATGTCTTCAAATAAATTATGCTTTGAACTGGCGAGTGGATCCGCGAATACGGCAGTCATTTTGGTGAAGGAAACATTTCAAACTATCGACTGCGCCTTCTCTATCCATAATCATTAGTACGTAATATGACTTCATGAGGTTTGCCTGCGTGACGATAATCGTTATCAGTATAAAAGAAAGGAGATTTTCTTCCGGTTAAGCTCACCTTTCGGAGGGCTTCAGGCTGCTGGCTACGGAAAACGTCGGATGCTGAGAGTGGCTCTGTGAACACATTATCACTCCGGTCGCAACGGCACCCGATCCCTGGTCCACAAGCAGATGCAAGTTGAGCAGCTGTGATCCAATCTGAAAGTGGAAAATTTAAGAAGTTAGGCGAACGTTCGCATTCATGGGCCATCGCTCGTCAGAACAACGGTTTTCTACGCATGCTTGTTTAGCGCATATACGTGGTATGGTGCTTTGCACAAACTGCTCTACAATACTCATCTCCGATTTGTTTTCCTTTTCAGCACTGCACCCATCAGGCGACCGACAGCTAGGCGGTGGCCTGTTGCCGACGGTGGAGGAGAGAGTGAGGTCGACAATAGGCGTATTTCTTTTCTCAGCATACTCAATCTGACGCGCCCGAAACTATCGCGGTGCGCTAAAAGCCGTGGCTTGGAGGGTTGCCAGCCGACAGGAGAATTTGGACAACGCAGTTGGTCTAGTGCGTGTTGTTGGGTGGAGTGGCTGTCTGCGGGTTGAGAGTCAGACTCAATGGCTCCTTCTTCATGTGGCTTTTATGGCGCTCCCAGTCGGGAGCCTACATAGCGAGACGTGCTGTTGGTACGCGTGTTGGGTGTCGGTCACCCCAGCCCTCTGCACCCTCCCCCATCTCCGAACTTCTTGACTTTGTCTTGACAACCGGATCTCGGTGTGGGAGTGGTCAGAGAGTGGGTTAGATTCACCGCGAGTCGGCTTTCGCTGCACATCTCACGGGAGTCACCGCGTTCCTTCAACTCGTTGAAGCTCGTGGGTGGACATCGTCGAAATCGACAGTCGAACTGCCGGTTAGTGCACACATTAACATAAGCTGGACGTAATACGAGTTGGCGGTCTATCATAAGTGGCTGCCCACACCTACCAGAAGGGTCACTAGTTTAACTTTACCGCTAGGAAGATAAGCGCCCACGCCAGAAGCGTGATAAGTCAAGAATTGATTGAGGCCTGGGCCTCCGATGAGAACTCCGTCAATTGATTTATCGATATGGCGCCGGCATCCATCACCCTGCGCAGGCATCTCCGGACTGGCGTTGCTGCTGGTTTATTCACCCCCGGCTCCTATAACTGTCTGTTTTTTGGCTGAAGCTTTTATCTCTGAGGGTGGACTCCAGCAAGAGTTCGAAAGCTCAGACAAGTGGAAGATTCCTCTGTGTGTATTTCTAGACGCCCTCTCTCTTTTGAATAGTTAATTAGACATTGATTTTTGTCCTAGTACTATCTCTGACACCGAGAAGGTAGTAGACGGACTCAAACAACCAAAGCAGCTCTAGCACAGACCAGCAGAGACTAGCACAAAACTCAGAAGCAAAAGCAGTATCAAATCAGTTAAATAAATTACTTTGAGAATTCAAATGCCGGAATGTGGTCACTGAAAAACGAGCGGCGCCTAATGAAACTAACAGATGCTGCCCTGGCTCGCTTCTGTGATCTACCAAAGATCCATAAATCAAACGTTCCTTCGCGGCCAATCGTTGCTTTCAAAGGCAGCCCCACCTATAATTTGGCAAAGTGGATGTGCTTGAAGCTGAAATGCCTCCAAGACACCTCTAACGCCTCCGTCCGCTCAGCCTCCAAATTTCTGGATGCAATCAGACGAAATGATGGTTCCCTTTGACGTCACATCATTCTTCGCATCTATTCTACCGGGTTTGGGGCGAGACGTCTTGTGCAGTATGCTCGAGGAGCTGTATGACTAAACACAAAGTTCACTCAAAATTGAACACTTCATGAAGCTGTTCGAATATTGCCAAAATGTATACATCACCTTTGCAGGAGCGACTTATGAACAGATCAAGGGAACTCCGATAGGTTCCCCAATCTCCGGTTTAATAGCAGAATTGGTCCTATAAACACTGGAAGAGATTGCCTTCACCCAAGGTCCCCGAACTTTTGGCCCCGTTACGGTGACGAAACCTTTGTTATTGACAAAAGGAACATGTTGCTGAACTTTCATGATCATCTCAACTCGATCTTGTCAGATATACAATTCACAAAGGAAGAAGAAAAGGATCAGCAACTACCCTCCCTTGATCTAAGCCGCATGTGAACTTCCAATGGCGAGATCGAAACAACCGTTAACAGGAAGGCAACAAACACCACACAGCTTCCCAACTTTCACAGCAGCCATCCGGTGGCTCACAGATGAAGCTGCGTGAGAACGCTGTTCAAACGAATCCACACTCACTGCAGTAACCCAAAGATTAAAGCACGGAAGGCCCGATATCTCCACAACCAGTTTATGCGGAATGACTATCCAAAGACCTCCATAAAACGATGTCGACGTGCCCGCCCTCCGAGAACCCGACCAGAACCAACCCCTAGCATATTGCATGCGCTGCCATACACCAAGGATGTGTCGGAAGCGACCGAGCGCATCGCCGTGGGACTAGGCGTCGGAATTGCACCATCTCAAGGCTACCATGTGCAGCCAGATCATGAGAATAAAGGACCGATTAAGTTCCAGTGAGCAGTCAGGCGTAGTGTA